CACACACACAAATGTATGTAGCTATGTGCGTGCTTGTGTGAGGACATTGCACCAACTGACAAATGGGCCAAAAAGAGAGAAAAAGAGGGCAATGTCACTGTACCTGGCCAGTAGAAGGGGAATGGTACACAGACATTTACGTGTTGCTGAACAGTATCCTATTGGATTCAATGATGTCAGGAGTTATCGTTTGTTTATTATGTTGTTTATAAAAATCTGAAAAGAAAAGGAGAGGAGTGCCTGTACAAAAAACTGACCTGTTAGGCGAATGCAGACCCGATTGACAGTGAATGTCTGCAGAACATTCACTTGACTACTTCGCCGAAGTAGAGGGGACATCGACCACGATAGCGATTGCTGACATCGCTTCAGCCCTTGCGAATGTCCACAGAAGCAGAAGGGGCGGCGATTGCCCATCTTGGAAGAAGACAACCACTTTGGACTGTCATTTTTCTGCCCAGCGTAGACAGAGTACTCGGAGCTTCTTCTGCACTGACGACGTTGATCGTGCCAAGAGCTTAATGCCAACGACGACCGAACCTGGCCTCCATCACGACCATATACAGACGAGGACGATCTCGAATAACATCTGACAGGTGGAAGAACGGTGGCCATCCGATGTCCCGGCGGTCTGCTAGGATCGTCCGACCTTCTTCTGCACCGACGAGGTTGATCATGCCAAGAGCTTAATGCCAACGACGACGGAGCCTGGCCTCCATCACGACCATATACAGACAAGGACGATCTCGATAAACATCTGACAGGTGGAAGAACGGTGGTCATCCGGTGTCCCGGCGGTCTACTAGGATCTACCAAGCTCTGTGCCATAGCTTTGTGCCAGCACTGCTGCAGCAGATGAAGAGAAGCGACCGGTCTTTGTGACAACGACGACTCTGCAGCACCCACATGTGTCAAACCACGGGTCATCCACTGCCCTCGTGGTCTGCTATCACCATCAGAGCTCTGCAACAGCGCATTCTTGCGACCACGCTGCAGCAGACAGCCATGAGAAGTAACTGGCCGACGTTGAGTCAACGATGGATGGACAGCAGCAACTCGCTGGTGGCGATGGCGTAGCTGCAGAGAAAACGACATTCCTGAAGATCTGACGTGCAGCCTGCAATCTGCCGCAAGCTGCCCAAGTGATGATGCTCCATCATCACACAGGCAAACTGCATTCTGTACAGAATATATATCTACGCCTCGATCAGCAGAGAGCAACATGTCTGACGGAGAGAGAGAGAGAAAGAGAGAGAGAGAGAGAGAGAGAGAGAGAGAGAGAGAGAGAGAGAATCAAGCTCACTGGATGCTGCTCCACAGATTGAAGATTGTCTTTCTCCTGCCTTGGGCCCCTCCTGTCAGGGAGAGAAAGAGACAGAGAGAAAGAGAGGGACGGGAAGAGAAAGAGAGAGGGAGGGAGAGAGAAAGAGAGAGAGAGGGAGAGAGAGAGAGAGAGAGGGAGGGAGAGAGAGAGGGAAGGAGGGGAAGACAGAGAGAGATTCAAGCTCACTGGCTGCTGCTGCTCCACAGATTGAAGATTGTCTTTCTCCTGCCTTCAGCCCCCCCTTGTCACAGACAGAGAGAGCGAGAGCGAGAGAGAGAGAGAGAGAGATTTAAGCTCACTGGCTGCTGCTCCACAGATTGAAGATTGTCTTTCCCCTCCCTTCCCCCACTTCTCCTCGCCCAATCCCTCCTCCTTGCTACCACCTTTGCAGCTGTGAATCAAAACCACTTTTGTGAAATTTGAACCCTTTCAACTTATTGTCCCGCTTCCGAAAATTGATACGTGTCTGCAAATTTGACCCCCACGGCTTCAGAACATTTACCCCTGCAGAAAATTGATCCCCTCTAGACCCAGTTTGGCCAACGTTGACCGTTGACAAGTACAGACAGAAGATCAAAAAAAAAAAAAAAAAAATCACCTTTGGTCAGCGACAGCACGCTCTTTCTCCTGCTGCTCAGATCGCAAGTCAAAGTCAACTCATCAAAGCGAGAAGTGGAAGCCAAGTCAAAACAACAGCGACCTTTCGTCTGACTGTGGCAAGACCTGTCAGACACATACCTTCAATGAAAAAAAAAAAAAAAAAAAAAAAAAAAGCCGCACCTGAGATATTATCCAGGCGAATTACAGGTGATGAGAACAGCGAGAGTCAAGAGTCATCTGACCAAACGCAAACCCAACATAACCCTGATAGCCACGGCGCCAATATGCGAAAATCTCGAAATGATATAACAAAAATAGATCGTCCAAAGCGCAGAAACCATAGCAGCAGAGCAACGGTGTACTTCCTTCTACGTCGCCAGAAAAAAGTGAAAACCTAGAAGAAGGAAGTGCCTGGCGTCCCCGACTACCGTCATTCCCCGAACATAACGCACCCTGAAATTGAACGTATACAAGCTATATTTCCGGTCCGGTACAGCCAAGATGAGGGTGCGTTGTGTTCGGGGGAAGACGGTAGTTTCGGCCGCTGCCAGTTAGCGACCTCATCAGGGGGATTTCGAATTACAGGACCTGGAACACTTGCAGACAGCAGAGAAGCCGGGTGCCATACTAGGTAGGCTACCAGCCGTGCCGCGAGAGTCACCTAGTTTGCCCGGGCGGCCCGGCCGTGCAAGGACAAAAGAAGGTCCAAGCAAAAATAAAACAAGGGGGGACCACAAAAAAAAAAAAAAAGAGGGGGGACCCCCTGTAAACATAGCTATCAAGGGGGGCCCCCTGCAAGCATAGCTATCAAACTCTCTTCGGTGAAGGGAGGTTACCCCTCTCAGTGGAGTGAGGTAATTGCATGTTTGCCCCTTGCCAATTGCCCCTCCCCTCGTCTTCGTTTTGAAGGCGCGAGCGCGCGCGCGCATGCAACCCGGCATCTCCCCCCCCTCGCACTCTTTTCACATGCAAGAGTTATCGCCTGCGAGCGCGCACACACACACACATACACACACACAAACGCACACCCACCCACCCAACCACCCATCCACCCGCACACACACACACACATACCTACCCACACACACACACACACACACACACAAACATTCTTTGCTGTGACTTTTTATTCCTGAAAGAATTATATACTAGATCAGCAATTTGATTAGCTCCTTCGTGACGGTCGTCGCATCTCGTTGATATAGCGAGAGATAGAAAGAGCGAGAAGGAGAGGGAGAGGGAGGAGGGGAGGGAGAGCCGCACACAGAGAGAGAGAGAGAGAGAGAGAGAGAGAGCCCTTTTTAACTCCTGCCTCTCGTTGATCTACAACCTTTTTTTTTTTTTTTTTCCCTTTTTGAAAGGGCGACCGACGGCCTTGAGATATCATCTTTGGAACTGACCGGCCCTCGTCATTCCAGAATAATTGCTTTTTTTCATCAACGTCCATCATCTGGGTTCGAACTCAGGTCAGTTGATCGATAATCACCGGCCGCGGCCTACTCAAAATGATGGTTCAATCAACTGACCTGAGTTCGAATCCAACTGCGGATGAACTGTAGAGTCGAACCATCATTTTGAGAAGAACTGTGGATTCGAACTGTGGGTTTGAACTGTGGATTCGAACTCTGGCCTGGTACCCGTCCGAACAGTGGATTCGAGTCTACAGTTCTTCCGCAGTTGGATTCGAACTCAGGTCAGTTGATCGATAATCACGCACTTGGATTCGAACTCAGGTCACTTGATCGATAATCACGCAGTTGGATTCGAACTCAGGTCAGTTGGATGAACTGTGGATTCGAACTCTGGCCTGGTACCCGTCCGAACAGTGGATTCGAGTCTACAGTTCTTCCGCAGTTGGATTCGAACTCAGGTCAGTTGATCGATAATCACGCACCTGGATTCGAACTCAGGTCAGTTGGATGAACTGTGGATTCGAACTCTGGCCTGGTAAGGGTTCGAACTGTGGTACCAGGCCAGTTCAAAACGATGGTTCATCCGCGTACCAGGCCAGAGTTCGAATCCACAGTTCATCCGCGTACCAGGCCAGTTAATCGATAATCACGAGGGCCACTGCCTACGCAAAATGATGGCTTTCTTTATGTTGTTCTTTTGTTTGTTTTTGTTTGTTTTTGGGTTTTCAATATGATGGCTTTCTTGTTGTTGAACGTACATAACGGACGGCGGGGGGGGGGAATCCTTAAGGGGGGGGCGGGGAATCCTTAGGCGAGGAGGAGGGGGAGGAAATAATCGTTGAAACGTCCATACGTAGATAGAGGACGATTCGTCGATGAAACTTCGTGTGTTCAAACGGTACATATCGTCTACTCATCAACGTTCGCTGCCTTAGACGCGAATAATCATCCAGCTGCTGATTGATTAATTGCCAGCCGTTGATTAGTTGCTCTAGAACCCAAGATTGACTGATTGATTGACTGATTGATTGACTGATTGATTGATTGATTGATCGAGAACCCAATCAAGCTTGCGTGCGTCCGTGCCGTAGATTGATTGATCGATGAACAAGCCAATCAATCAACAGCCTGCAGTGCAAGCTCAATTGGCGTTGTTGATTGATTGGCTTTGTTGTTGATTGATTGGGTTGTTCGATCAATCAATCAACCAACCAATCAATCAATCAATCAATCAATCAATCAATCAATCAATCAATCAATCAATCAATCGACGGCACGCACGCACGCACGCACATACACACACCCACGCACGGACGCACAGACACACATGCACTCACGTATTCAGTGCGTGTGTCTGTGCGTCTATGCGTCTGTGCTTGTGTGTCTGTGCGTGTGTCTATGCGTGTGTGTCTGTGCAGTCGATTGATTGATTGATTGATTGATCGAACAACAACCCAATCCATCAACAAAGCCAATCAATCAACAAAGCCAATCGATCAACAAAGCCAATCAAGTAATGGCGTGTAGAAACAACAAGCCAATCACTGAACAAAGCCAATCAATCAAAAAAGCCAATCAATCAACGAAGCCAATCAAAAAATCAACCAAGCCAATCAATCAATGGCACGGAGAATCAACGTCGAATCCTCAGTCCTTCCCTCCTTTCCTCCTTCCCTCCTTTCCTCCTTCCCTCCTTTCCTCCTTCCCTAACCACTTCTACTCCACAGAGTCGATGAGCCCTGTCGGTAGGGAATGCACCCAAGCTCGGCTGCCAACGAGGTTGCGCGCCGACAAGCCTGCGGCCCGACAAGCTCGCGTGCCTATTACAGATCCCCTTTCTTTTTTTCTTTTTTCTTTTTTTTTTTTCTTTTTTTTTTTTTTTTTTTTTTTTTAACACGGTTCCTTTTTTATTAAGAGCCCACTGCCCAAGTGGCAAGTACAGATCCTTTGCTCTCTCCTTGCGCCGACAAGCGCAGAGCCTGCCCGCCAGTTCTTATCGTCGACTACTCTTTTTTTTTCTCTTTTTTTTGGGTGTGTTTTTGGTCAAAAAATTTGGACCGTTTCTCGAACTTATGCCTGTCATGATCCTTGCACAGGGGCCATGTGTTTTTCTTTTTTCTTTTTTCTTTTTTCTTTTTTGCCATGCTATAATTCTCTTTTTCTCTGTATTGTTCAATTTTGACGAATATTCTTATCGTCGATTGCTACCCTCGGCGTGCTTTTGCTTTCGTTTCTGTTTCTGCATTCTTTTTTTTGTTTGTTTGTTT